ATTGTCAATAAAGTACAGAGCCGCAACAATGTCCTCAAGTCGCTAGCCGGCAGCACTTGGGGCAAAGATAAAGAAACGTTGTTGGCAACATACAAGGCAATTGGCCGGCCGGTTCTAAACTACGCAGGGCCCGTAAGGTCGCCGGGGACTAGCAGGATGCAATGGATGAAGCTACAGACCTGCCAAAACACGGCATTACGAACTGCGACAGGATGCCTCCTGATGACGCCTCAACACCACCTTCATGACGAGGTCCAGATGCTCCCAGTATAGGAGCATAACATAATGCTCTGCAAGCAGTTCCTTACTGGGAGCCACAGACGTGGCCATCCCAGCGCACAACTGCTCGCGGAAGAGCCCACGGCACGTCAGGAGGCATCTTTACGAACTGACGGACAAAGTCCAGAGGTTTATCAAACAACCTCTGGACCCGTCAACCTACCGACAGGCCCTGAACGGAATTCACAGGGAATCAGTCCCAAGATATGTAGACTCCCGCCCTGTGAATGCCGTTCTAGGCACACAAACACCGGACATTGCCGCGACGGAGCTCCATCTGCCTCGGGAGACAAGAACCACAATAGCCCAACTTCGCTCTGGCTACTGCAGCAGGTTAAACTCATACCTGAGTAGACTAAATGAGGATGTGCCAAATGAATGTCCGGCATGCGGAGACACCCCTCACGACTCGAAACATCTCCTCGCATGCGCGGAAAACCCGACAACCCTAACGACGTTGTCCCTGTGGACCGACCCCGTAGAGGCTGCACGCTTCTTGGGGCTGCCGTTAGTGGAACTCGACGACAACGACTGAGATATCAACCGATCTGGGCGGGGTTGTTGTAGCCGCTACAACAACAACAACATGTTTTTATTACACTTAGCTGCAACTAACAGAATAAATGCCACGCCGGTTTTTCGTACATTGTTTTCGCATTAATATTTAATTATATCAATAAGTTTTGCGATTTTTTGTTACAAATTCAGCTAAAGTAAACTATAGTGAACATCTAGATACAGACATGTGGTCATTTAATGCATTTTTTAACGTGAATTGTGTTCTGAAAAAGTGAACTAAAATCGAACGTTTTTTTACGAATAACTTTCGAACGGTTAAAATAAATCCATTTCCGCCTCCGGATTCTGAACGCTGGTGGTAATACGCGTCGTTTTATACCCCTTTCGATTATTTTACACCATTTTTTGGTGGGGACCATGAACTGCACCATAACCGTAAAGTGAAGTAACGAAGTGAAGGCTTCCAAAGTGAAGTGAAAAACTTCAATTGAAGTGAAAGCGGCAGCACTGGTTCGGGCTATGAGAACGATTTTTGAAGAGTTGTGTAGAGAATGAAGTTGCAAGACTTTACCCAAGGCGAATTTGTACAAGGTGGTGTTACTGGCGAATTTAGATTTTCGCCGCGGTACTTCTTAATGTCAAAATGATGAGTTTGTTGTAATATGATTTCGCCTTGTTTACAACAGACATATAATTTTGACATTAGGAAGTACCGCGGCGAAAATCTAAATTCGCCAGTAACACCACCTTGTATAAATTCACGGTGGAGAGAATACAGAAAGTGGCGTTGATGGAAACACCGCTAATCGGCTCTAATTGAATTTAACAAGAGCAGCTGTTTTTCTGACGTCACAGTCGAGTTGACACCAGTAGTGAAGTGCTGAGTCAATACTTTTAAGTATTGATCGAAAAGCGGTACCGATTTAAAAATTATCCAATGCTCTCGATACTCGGTACCGAAACATTTATGTTTCGAAGAAAAGCGCACATAGGCCAAAAATATAGAAAAAAAACGGGTCAGGTAAGACTCGCCTATCAAAACCCGAATGTAGGAACCAATAGAGCTTTTAACACTGATTCAAATGAAAGATGTATATATGTCGGTTCGAGGCCATAATACAGAGAAACTCTTACCTGTGTGAAGCATTTTTGTTCCAGCTGAATCGGACGATATCATTTTTGTAGGCCTGGGGCAGATTCTGTAACCAGTTAGCGACAATTTTCGAATCGATATCGGTTTTGTTGACGTATGATATGAAATATTTTTACGTCGACAAGTGCGATATGGATTCGAAACTTGTCGCTAACTGGTTACAGAATCTTTTCCCTAAAAGGCCTCTTCATCCGTCAAAGCGTTTTTCTTGAACCTTGGCTCGACTAAGGTTAAAACTGATAAAATAATATTCCTCTGTTGCGATAAGTTCAAGTGTTTTAGCCGATATCATATAAATTAGTAATGAAAGTTTGTTCTAAACTTGATATGCATATAATGGCGAAGGTTTAATGAAAAGAATCGGTATCGGGTACCGAAATGGAAGTATTGGGTACCGAAATCTTTTTTAAGTATTGTGTACCCTCTCACCAAAGAACGTAAATCTACATGATTCAATAATACAAGGCTCGATAAACTGACAGTTGTCTCTCTCGCACCGCTAACTTAGCAGTGGCACAGTGTTGCTTCTTTGCAAATTTACATGGAAACAGTGTAGCTTTGGTGTGAAATAGAAGTATAAGCTTTTGTGCAATATGTTTATATGTATATGCATATGAAGCATACTTAACTGATGAAAACATAAACTGTTTTTAAATTGAATTGGGTGGGCTTTAGATTGGTAACCCCGGAGTACAGCATTAAGGAAAATATGGGAGGTAGAGGGGGGTCTAACAGTTCCCTGTATGAAGTTTCAAAGCGCGCAACCTTGTACTTTTTAAGCAATTTGTTATTGAAGTTTGTAATTTTAACCAACTTGTATGACACTATTTTACAATATATAATGCACCTTCCACTGAATTTACAGGTTATTTACATTCAATATATGCGCAGTTAGAGTGTGCACGTTCAAACAAATAAATACTTTTAGTATATTACAGCTTTTTTATCAAAAATTGATTGTTGTTTAACTTATGAGAGTACATGCAGAATATGTGCAAATGGCAGCAGGACTGTGTTGCCATATCTACAAAACCAAGAGTGGAAAGCAAGACCGGAAGAGGGGAATATGACCGCAAGCCCCCTACTATTTATTTTTATCTGAACAAAAGAAGCTTATCGTATTTTCCTTTTAATCGTACTTTCTTTTGGTCTTGCTTTCCACTCTTGGTTTTTTAGATATGGCAACACAGTCCTGCTGCCATTTGCACATATTCTGCATGTACTCTCATAAAATTAAACAACAATTAATTTTTGATAAAAAAGCTGTAATATACTTAGGGCCGTTTGCACCATGTCTAGTTAATTCTAACTCCCAGTTAAACATCTTTATCGACGTTATCGACACCCATCATATAACATGTGGTCGATAAAGCAGTTAACGTGCTTAACTGAAGGATGTACCTCCAGTTAGCGTTAACTAGACATGGTGCAAACGGCCCTAAATAGCACATAGATTACGTAATTCACGTAGATATATCAATATTACGTTCAACATTTCGTTTGAAATACCAGATTTCCTGCAAATACATTAGAATTTACAAAAGGAATTTCACTACTAATTGCCTACTTTGCGTACTTTTCTACTACCATTTTCACACAAAAAGATTTCATTCTTCCCCTTTCTCCGTCCTTCGTAAATGCAACCTTTTGTAAGGGAGTGTCAAACCGCAGCTGTCAATAATTATCTAACCTTGTATTATTGAATCATGGTAAATCTATAAGAAGCGACAACACGTTATAATTATAGCGAGTGTGAACATCAGGAGCGTGCCCTCACTTTTCATCCAGTCTAAAAACGTATTTGAGCAAGAGAGAAGGCACGGTCCTGATGTTCACACTCGCTACAATTATAACGTGTTGTGTCTTCTTATAGATTAACGTTCTTTGCTCTCACGAATTCTGCTGCAATCGGCGCAATCTTGTATTCTATCATTCTTGGTATAAATTAGCCTCGATTTTACCCGAACTTTTTCTTCTGGTAAAATAATGACAATTGTCAAGCGTTCACTTGTTGTCGCTTTTACATGAAAAATGCTTCTTTTGTTCCCGTACTCACTTCAGAGAGTAATTTAGCTGTTTGACAAATTTTACAGGATTTAACACGAAAAGTACAGGATCAGAGCTAATTATTGCTTGCAAGAGCATTTTCCATTGGCAAAATTTTGCCTGATAACATTATCAAGATAAAAACTGTTGCATGTGGAGACGGCAAGTTATAGCGCTATCGATAGTTTGACAACTACAGTCCTTTTCTAAATTGTTTATTTCTTGGATGGAATGAAACCAAGCTTCCCTTCTACCTTTACATCTACTTCTGAAACAACCAGCATATCGGGAATTTTATTTGAATAAATAAGGACTGGAAATTTAGTTGGACTGTTTCACGTTGTGATCGGGTAGAAAATATAAACAAAAAAATGCATATCAAACAGGTAAATATCGAAATACATATGAGCCAACGAACTTATGGTTTAATGAGATTATTGCAGATTATAATCCAAGGTTTCAAAAGCTATAAGGACCAAACTGTAGTTGAACCCTTTGACAAAAGGCACAATGTTGTCGTGGGCAGGAACGGTTCAGGAAAGAGCAATTTCTTCTATGGTAAGCTATACAAACATTTGTACGGGACTACCATCGGGTACTGTTTAGTAAGTGGCCCACCTATTTCGGGGTATTGCGTCCAAAGGGGTGACCCGATCCAAAAAAAAATTGCACACACTTGTAGCCAAGGGTCTACCCATTATTTTAACATCCACTATTGTAATTTTTGGTCACTAATTTATTTACAAATTGGGTTTGAAATATGCCCTTTTTTGTAAAATTCGGAAATTAGCGTACATTTATCACTCCTATTTTCCTTAAAGCAGCCACTTCACCAATGCATTTCTATATTCCCCTTCACTTTAAACTTTATTCGACTTGTTACAACTTTCTTTATTACTTTAATTTTAACCTATCAATCACAATTTATTAAATAAAAACACCTTCAAAACCACGCGTCTGCCTTTGGTTGCATATGCAAATTAAATGGCGGCGTTTAGNCCCACCCCAAAAACGATGGGCCAATAACTAAACATTTCCCCTACCATTAATATTGTATCTGGTCGAACATTAGAGATTCTGGCCCTAAGGATCTTTAAACATTTGTTTGAATCTCGGATTTCTAAAGGGCTCATTTATTGAGATATCTTAACTGCAACTGTGTTCAGAAATGTATAAATTCAAAACATCAGTACTATATTTTGTCAGTTGGTTGGTGTTTAAAGGGGCGGTGGGCTAAGGTCACCTCCAGCCCGCATTTTGGGAAATCTTTAGCTATTTGTACAACGATTTAGGGTTGGGGGCGGAGAGGGAGGGGTCGTCGCTCCCCAAGCCCCCCCTAAACGGAAGAAGATGAACGCCGCTTTATGAAAAGTCACCTCTCACGCCCCTCCCCACTAAAGACTAAAAGAATAGACTAAAGACCACTTGGTAACTGAAAACAGCGGAAATTTGGATTTTTTACAAAACGATTATAGCCCTCACTACTTTCTCTGTTGCCCAAAAAGAGGGGCTGAACACCTTTTGCAGAGAGCACCTTTCTGCGTAGGCGGCCTTCGGCCGCACTTAGGGATTATAACCCTCACTTAGTAGAATTCTCCTTTCTTTTTTGCTAAAGAAGAGGGGCTGAACACCTTTTGCAGAGATATTTCGTGGATATTTTTTTTTTGACAGCTCAGCTCGGAAACTTGCAAAAAATACCAATTTCCAACCGACATTATTAATATTTTTGGGGAACAGATATAGTATATTTTATTTTTGTAATAAAGCGTGAACTGTTGTCTATAAGTGTGTGTAAAAGGTTTTTGATTCGATTCACGCGTTTGGGCACAGCAACCCAAAATCGTTGTACAAATTCATAAAGAGTACCCCGCATTTTAGAGAGGGCACGACCGCCATTTACAAAAATGCTTCTCTCGAAAAAATGCATTCCCCCTATGGGACCCTAGGTAGCCCTTAGAAAAATGGCCAAAAATCACAATTTTCACTTGCGTTTGTTCGCTAAAAAATGCTGAGTATTACCTATTTGCAGCAAAAACTCTATACACCCTTGACAACAGAAGAGGGGCCTTGCCCCTCTCCGGCAACACGGAAAGGAGAATTCTACTTAGTAAGGGTTATAAATCCTAATCGCGGCCGAAGGCCTAAGCAGAAGGGGTTATTATCTAGTTTAGGGGACAACTTAAAAAACACCAAAAATGTGTGAAGGGGTATCAATCGATGCGTTTCGGTTCCTGTATAAACAATCTGGAGGCGGAAGGTTAATATTTAGCTCTATCGTGTAGACACTTACACTTTCATAAATGAACAGAATGTTCACTACCGACTATTCACCCGTATGCTGTAATCCGAAAGTTCGTAGTTACGAATTCGTAGCTCCGTTCCGAAAATTCGAAATTCGTATGCTGCAAGGCGAATTTATATAAGGTGGTGTTACTACCCAGTAAGAACCCTATCTGTTAACAAATGCGTTATATACGCCTAGTACCACAAAAAGTTTGTGTGAGAAATTCAAAAACTTTCCATCATTTTACATAGGCCTCCTGGAGAAATCTGACGCATAATCGTTTCAAGTGTGAGTAGTTTTCTCTTTCTTTCACATGGAATTCGCTATTATGTTATACTATATGTAGTTGTCTCTTTTCAATCAAATATTATTAAGCGTGCAACAAAAATATGCTTAAAGTCCAACACGCATACATGGAGAATCATGGCGTACATACGCTTTGCCATTTACTCGAAACAGAAATCAAGAAGTGTCTAAATAGCCAAAAGCACTGCATAGTCGTTTCGGAAGATCTTGAAAAAGCATTCGATAGGGTAATATCAACACATGTTCTGAAGGAGCTACATGACTGGGGACTACCCAAAAGCTTCTTAAAATTAACTTTATCGTTCCTCTCCCACAGAAGAGTACACGTGAAAGTAGACGGCTACTTGTCCAGAAATTACAAGCTTGACAATGGGATTCCACATTCCTTTTCGGTATTTCTCTTTAACACTTACACGAATACGTTGTCAAAAGCCATGAGTGAGGTACACGGAATAGACTTTATAGGTATATATGCAGACAATATCTTCGCATTATCTTCTGGCACACCGGAAAAAGTATGTCTGAGCCTGAACGCACTAGACAAGAAAATACACGAATGGTCAATGAAAACTGGAGCAGTAATTCCAGCCGACAAAACCGAAGCTTTGCATATATGCAGAAAGAGAAATTGCAATGCATCCTCAATAACACTGAGAAACATTAACATCGAGCTAAAAACAAAAATAAATAATATAAAAAAAACTTTTTAATATACAACGCTTTTATAAATGGACTAAAAAGTAGAAAATAATACTTCTCAGTCCCATAGAATTTGTTTTGATAACTTTTGATTTTGAAATTTTAGCAAAAGTCATTATAAACAAT